TAGATATAGTCGGACTCACCTCGACACATTGCATTGGCTCTGGAACCCGAGACCTGGAGAGGGGTTGGACACTCTACTTTGCTGAGTTGCTCCGGGTGAGAGGCGGAGGGCTGGGGTTGGCTTTTTGTTAGCCCAGAGACTCTCTGCCTGTGTGTTGGGGTTTACCCCGGGGGACAAGAGGGTAGCTTCCTTGCGCCTTCGGGTCGGGGAACGGGTCCTGACTGTTGTTTGTGCTTATGGGCCAAATATCAGTTCAGAGTTAAGTACCCACCCTTTTTGGAGTCCCTGGGACGAGTGCTAGATAGTGCTCCATCAGGGGACTCCATTGTCCTGCTGGGGGACTTCAATGCTCACGTGGGCAATGACAGCTTGACCTGGAGGGGTGTGATTGGGAGGAACGGCCCACCTAATCAGAACTCGAGCGGTGTTTTGTTATAGGACTTCTGTGCAAGCCGCAGTTTGGCCATAACGAACACCATGTTCGAACATAAGGATGCCCACCGGTACACTTGGTACCAGGGCAGCCTAGGTCACAGGTCGATGATAGATTTTGTAGTCGTATCATCTGACCTGCGGCCGTATGTTTTGGACACCCGAGTGAAGAGAGGGGCGGAGCTGTCAACTGATCACCACCTGGTGGTGAGTTGGATCAGATGGCAAGGGAACATGCCGCGTAGACCTGGCAGACCCAAACGCATAGAGAGGGTCTGCTGGGAACGCCTGGCAGAAGAACCTGTCAAGACGGTCTTCAACTCCCACCTCCGGCAGAGCTTTGACCACGTCCCGAGAGCAGTGGGGGACATTGAGTCCGAGTGGGCCTTGTTCCACTCTGCGATTGTCGAGGCGGCTGTTGCTAGCTGTGGTCGTAAGGTGGCCGGTGCCAGTCGTGGTGGCAACCCCCGTACCCGCTGGTGGACACCAGAGGTTCGGGGAGCCGTCAGGCTGAAGAAGGAGGCCTACAGGGCGTGGCTGGTCTGTGGGTCTCCGGAGGCAGCAGACAGGTACCGGATAGCCAAGCGGGGTGCAGCAGTGGCTGTTGCCGAGGCAAAATCTCGGGCGTGGGAGGAGTTTGGTGAGGCCATGGAGAAAGACTATCGATCGGCTCCAAAGAGGTTCTGGCAAACTGTCCGGCGCCTCAGGAGAGGAAGGCAGCAACTCGCTCACACTGTTTACAGTGGGGATGGGGAGCTGCTGACGTCAACTGAGGCTATAGTCAGACGGTGGAAGGAATACTTTGAGGAGCTCCTCAATCCCACCAATGCGCATTCCGAGGAGGAACCAGAGCTGGGAGGCCTGGGGATGGACTGTCCGATCTCGGGGGCAGAAGTTGCTGAGGTAGTCAAACAACTACACAGCGGCGGAGCCCCGGGGGCGGATGAGGTTCGTCCTGGGTATCTCAAGGCTATGGATGTTGTAGGGCTGTCATGGTTGACACGTCTCTACAACATTGCGTGGTCATCGGGGGCAGTTCCTAGGGAGTGGCAGACCGGGGTGGTGGTCCCCATCTTTAAGAAGGGTGACCTGAGGGTGTGTTCCAACTATAGGGGGATCACACTCCTCAGCCTCCCTGGAAAGGTCTACTCCAAGGTACTGGAGAGGAGGGTCCGATCGATAGTTGAATCTCAGATAGAGGAGGAGCAATGTGGTTTTCGTCCTGGCCGTGGAACTGTGGACCAGCTCTATACCCTTGCAAGGGTGATGGAGGGGGCATGGGAGTTTGCCCAACCAATCCACATGTGCTTTGTGGATTTGGAGAAGGCTTATGACCGTGTCCCCAGGGGCACCCTGTGGGGGACGCTCCAGGAGTATGGGGTGGGTGGCTTTCTGTTAAGGGCCATTCAGTCCGTTTACCAGAGGAGCGTGAGTTTGGTCCGCATAGCCGGTAGTAAGTCGGACCTGTTCCCAGTGAGGGTTGGACTCCGCCAGGGCTGCCCTTTGTCACCGTTTCTGTTCATCACTTTTATGGACAGAATTTCTAGACGCAGCCGTGGTGTGGAGTGTGTCGAGTTTGGTGGCAGGAGAATCTCGTCTCTGCTTTTTGCGGATGATGTGGTCCTCCTAGCTTCATCCAGCTCTGACCTTCAGCTCTTGCTGGGTAGGTTCGCGGCCGAGTGTGAAGCGGCTGGGATGAGGATCAGCACCTCCAAATCTGAGACCATGGTTCTCGACCGGAAAAGGGTGGCTTGCCACCTCCGGGTCGGGGGAGAGGTCCTACCTCAACTGGAGGAGTTTAAGTATCTCGGGGTCTTGTTCACGAGTGAGGGTAGGAGGGATCGGGAGATCGAAAGGCGGATTGGTTCGGCGTCTGCAGTGATGCAGACGCTGAGCCCATCTGTCGTGGGGAAGAGGGAGCTGAGCAAGAAAGCCAGGCTCTCGATTTACCGGTCGATCTACGTCCCAATCCTCACCTATGGTCATGAGCTTTGGGTAATGACCGAAAGAACAAGATCGCGGATACAAGCGGCCGAAATGAGTTTCCTCCGTAGGGTGGCCAGGCTCAGCCTTAGAGATAGGGTGAGGAGCTCGGACATTCGGGAGGGACTCGGAGTAGAACCGCTGCTCCTCCGGATCGAAAGGAGCCAGTTGAGGTGGTTTGGGCATCTGGTCAGGATGCCTCGTGGACGCCTCCCCGGGGAGGTGTTTCGGGCATGTCCTGCCGGCAGAAGGCCCCCGGGTCGACCCAGGACACGTTGGAGAGGTTACATCTCCAATCTGGTCCGGGACGCCTTGGGGTCCTGCCGGAGGAGCTGGTGGACAAGGCCGGGGAGAGGACGGCCTGGAGCTCCCTAGTTGGGATGCTGCCCCCGCGACCCGGACCCGGATAAGTGGAGGAAGACGAAGACGAAGACATTTACTGCAGCTGGCAGAGGCAGAGATTGTTTCTATTGATACACAGAATTTACAGAATCATTTTAAATGTTAATAGGGGAAGACTGCAGGAGGGAGCGGTAAAATACAGAGGTCCCCAACAAAAACAAGAAACTTTACGAGTCTGATGAAACCCGCTGGTTTTCCATCAGGCAGTCACGGGGCAGCTCCATCGACCCAGTGACCGAGCTCAGTCGGTACCGACACCGGCTCGGCAGAGGGTGGACGAGCCGAGGCGACGTCGTGCTCTGCTTAAGAAGCGGTGTTATTTTCCTGCTTCAGAAGAAGCGTCCAACGTGTTTTTACGCTTTCTCCGAGACATGTCACGTCACTAAGTTGTTAGCGCCGCGCGCTAAGGAAACCCTGCGTTCCTCTTCGGAACGAAAACCTCGTTGTCGCTCAGCCGCGGCGAAGCCATGTTTGTTCACACACAGGTGAAAACAAGTGGGGCACTAATATATTACTATGACTCACTCTGATTAGTTAAGGGTCAAACAAAGGCGTGTCATTCGCCTGGGGTAAGTTCCCTTTTCAGTCAGAGGCAGAAATTCAACAGCAGAGCTGTGAATCGTGATAAAACGGTCTCTCAAAAATGACAGACCGTCAGATGTGTAGATCGTAAAACGGTCTAAAATCGTCATATCGCCCAGCCCTATGGCACATCTACACGTGCAGCACCAAGAAGGTTTAATGTGTCTCCCAGCACAATCTCCAGAACATGGAGGGGATTTCAGGAGACTGGTGGTTATTCTCGGAGAGCTGGACAGGGTTGTAGAAGGTCCACAACCCATCAGCAGGACCGATACCTGCTCCTTTGTGCAAGGCGGAACAGGCTGAGCACTGCTCGTGCCCTACAGAATGACCTCCAGAGGGCCACTGGTGTGAATGTCTCTACCCACACAATCAGGAGCAGACTTCATGAAGATGGCCTGAGGGCCCGACGTCCTGTAGTGGGCCCTGTGATCACCGCACAGCACCGTAGGGCTCGACTGGCATTTGCTCAAGAACACCAGAATTGGCAAGTCCGCCACTGGCGCCCTGTACTTTTTACAGACGAGAGCAGGTTTACCCTGAGCACTTGTAATAGATGTGAAAGAGTCTGGAGAAGACAAGGAGAATGTTATGCTGCCTGCAACGTCGTTCAACCTGACAGGTTTGGTGGTGGGTCAGTGATGGTCTGGAGAGGCATATCCATGGAGGGACGCACAGACCTCTACTAAATGGTGCTCTGACTGCCATAAGGTATCGAGATGAAATCCTTGAACCCTTTGTCAGACCCTACGCTGATGCAGTAGGTCCTGGTTTTCTCCTAATGCACAACAATGCCCGGCCTCATGTGGCAAGAGTATCCAGGCAGTACCTGGAGGATGAAGGAGTTGAAACAATTGAATGGCCTTCACAATCCCCCAACTTAAACCCAATAGAACATCTGTGGGACATTATATTTCGGTCCATTAGGCGGCGCCAGGTTGCTCCTCGGACTGTACAAGAGCTCAGGGATGCCCTCACACAGATCTGGGAGGAAATGTCACCAGACACCATCCGTTGTCTCATTAGGAGCATGCCCCGACATTGTCAAGCATGCACACAAGCTCGTGGGGGCCACACAAGATACTGAAAAGCAATTTGAGTTGCAGAAATTAAGTTTTTGAAATAATGGACTTGCCTGCCACATCTTCATTTCACTCCGATTTTAGGGTGTCTACACAATTGAGACCTCTGTAGGCTGATAACTTTTATTTCAATTAAAAGACTTGGCATCCTTGTGTTCCTAAGACATTGCCTTGTCATTATTTGAATAGATATCCAACTTCATATTGAGACGTGATGTATCTAATGTGTTTCTTTAAAGTGTTCCTTTAATTTTTGTGAGCAGTGTATGTGGTGGTTGACTATCCCACATATGATCAAGTACCACATGAGACCCATTTCAAATAAAATTGAAACAAGCTTGAAAAATCTTGTGTTTCAAGTGTTATAAAATTAAATGGACATGGGTTAGGATGGCATACAAAGTAAAAAGCTACAATTTAAGCACTGATCCTTTTACTGGTGGGTCTACTAAATAATCAGGTGATAAAACCATCTCAGTGGCCACTCTAAGCCACAGGACCCAGTATTCCTGGACTTACTCCTGGTGTTCACAGTAGTCCCAGTCGTGCCTCTCGTGCTTGCAGGCCAGGAAGTTGGGCCAGTAGTCCCTCTTACACTTCATGAGTTTCAGCAGATAGTGAGCGCAGTAGTCCCTCTGTTCCAAAGGCAGCTGGGCCAGGTTCATCTGCTCCTGGGTTGCTATCATCTCTGTCAAAATGAAGCAACGGTCTCTTAAGTAAACTCTGAAGTTGTAATAAATGTCAAGACTACAGGAGTTCACATTATTTATAATATGCAGCGATCTGAGAATGAAGGCAGATGTTAGACGATCATACCATTTAGCGAGTCATTAAATAGATGTCATTATTATTTTGGTCTTAGTTTTGCAATGACTTTTGCTTATGTTATTGCTGTACTGCGTCGATTTTGTGTTTAATTTAGCATTACCGTATAACTGTTTAGTCGTTTATCACATTTGACATCCTGTAATTTTATATCAATTGTGATTAGTCCCATTTTCATAATATTTGCAAGCTTGTAGGTTTAGCTAGCTCTGTTTTGGATCGAGTTTTTATAAGCTAGCTAGCTAGCATTTGTCCAAAGGTAACACAGATCGATACGTGACTGCTTAGCTAGCCGCTAAGAACAGCTAGCCCAGCATGGCAACAACCAGTCACTAAAATAATCCGTTCTGCTCATGTGGGTCAGACTGTAAATGAGACCGAACCAGAATCTGCCCACCGACCTCTTTCTTTCCTCTCTCCGAAGCCAAAGTTCGGGTCGAACTCATATTTCTTCGCTGGGTCCGGCTCGGTGTCCCTTTCGGTGATGTACCGCCTGACAAGGTGAGCTCCCATGGCACCGTGTTTGCCTGTGCGCCCCACAAAAGAAAACTTTTATATTCAGTCTGCGTTTGTTCGCTGCTAATGAAATGTTTACAGACTTATGCTAAAATCTGCCATTCGGTCACCTCCACGGACCTCCTACTGCCACTTCCGCTGGAAGCCTACACAAGCTAGTGAATAGATACACTACCGCCCCCTTCTGGACCGGAGGAACAAACGGAACTAAACAAAATTAACCCAACGTCTAATTGTCTAAATTGTAATTTGAGCACAAAAAATGCACTTACAAAGCTTCCCATAGAAATATTATATAATATTTCATAAGTCCCAATATTTTTACATGAATTTCATCCTTGGCTTCAGCCATAACAAAACATAATGAAAAATGTGTTTCTCAGATTTAACCCATTTATTGCCAGGTTTATTATCCAAACCAGAAGTTTGAAAACTGTACAAAAAATGAAAAAATCAAATATTTTTTGTGTGTTATGCCCAGATGACCTTTTTTGTGGGTAAGTTGTTACAGCCTTGGAGTGTCACAAATAGGCATAAAAATATTTTTTGCTCACTTTGTAGTTTTTGTGTGATGTCACATTTTCTAAAATATGCATGTTAAAGTCCTTTGAGCACAAAAAAAATCCACTTAGAAAGCTTCCTATAGAAATATTATATAATATTTCATAAGTCCCACTTTTTTTTACATGAATTTCATCCTTGTCTTCAGCCCTAACAAAATATAATAAAATATGTGTGTGTTTCTCAGATTTAACCCCTTTATTGCCAGGTTTATTATCAAAACCAGAAGTTTGAAAACTGTACAAAAAATGAAAAAATCAAATAATTTTTTGTGTGTTATGTCCAGATGACCTTTTTTGTGGGTAAGTTGTCACAGCCTTGGAGTGTCACAAATAGGCATAAAAATATTTTTTGCTCATTTTTTAGTTTTTGTGTGATGTCACATTTTCTAAAATACTCACGTTAAAGTCTTTTGAGTACAAAAAAATGCACTTACAAAGATGGCCAGTTGACTACTTTATTAAAACACATGAACAAAGAAAAAGGGTGTGTGTGCATGTGCGTGTGTGTGTGTGTGTGTGTGAGAGAGAGAGAGAGAGAGAGCTAGTAGCTGCAGGTTAAGCACACAACTGATGAGTGCTCCTCGCACACAGCCTGTCCACATTTTCTGCAAAAGCGTGCATGCAAGCCTGTGCTTCAGTATGTATCTCACCGCGGTGGTGGTGGAGGTGAAGGCGAAGAGGGAGGACAGAACCGCTCTGCTTCTCATCTAGAGCTGTGGGGGCAGCTCTGGCTTGTTGCACCTAACTGTTCCCACAAGACACATTTTATTTTGGAGCAGCTCTTCTCCAAGGGCTAGTGATTTGAAAAAATTGTCATATATATATATATATATATATATATATATATATAAATGGCACTGATGATCTAACATCTAGAATCAGGGTAAGAGAAGATGAGTTAGAATAGTATTCAGCTGTACAAAAGCAAGCAGAAGAATTTTAAATATAACTTCAATCTAACAGGAAGTCAGTGGAGAGGCTCTGACATAAGAGTGAGGCTACCTCTTCTGCTACGAGTCTGACATCACCTTCATAACAGTTAAATTAAATATTGCATTTACTGAAAATATGACCCAGCTATATTTCCAAATGTTACCTGTAGACCAAAGGCACTACCATAAAATCAAGGTCTTGATAGAGTTATTTTAAAAACCTTAAAGGTGCAGAACACTCAGAAGCGCCTGAATCAGCATGGACAAGTCTGTTGCAGCAGACAGCAGGATTAGGAGTCTTATTTCCCGATATTTGGACATCTAGCCTTTGATTGGCTAACAGCAACGCAACTCTACCACCGACTCAGTTTCCCTGCAATGTTGATGTTTTATCTACACAAATAACACAAGCCTTGAGGAGCTTCTGCTGTGTTTTTGAGTTGCTAATGCTAATGTTAGCTTCTGCTAACCAAGACGTTAAATGCTGTTTCCTGGACGCTAAACCAACAACAGCCTTCCCCATTGTAAGCCAAGATGGGTGAGTCCAAGCGAGTGAGCCAGGCTTTTCATATCCTAGCATTTCACCGTATATTCTCTATCAGAAGCTCATGCAGGAGATAGATGTAGGAGACTAATTTCATGTTCAGCCTAAATGAAAAACACAGAGTGACTGATTGTAATCAGAAATAATCATTAAAATGTTTTTTCAGAGTTTTACTCCATTAAATCACTGGAACAAATATCGATCATGTTCCCATTTCAGCTCATTTTCAGTTATACTTTCAGCTTGTAGGTTATTATTGGTAGAGCTCGTCATCACCTTCCCCTCTGTACTGGCTCGACCTCTCTGATCCAGAACCTGACCTCTGACCTCCAGACCGGGTACCAGTTGCAGAAGGAAACCTAAAGGGGAAGCTCTGGAGTTTAGATCTAGATGTACATCTATAACAAAGTCGTCTGTAGCTTGTGTACCTGAAGTTTCCAAATCCCCGGCTCTGCTGCAGAGTTTGTGCAAACATCTCATATTTGCGGATGTCGTTGTCACTGACGGAGCGACGGGCAAACCGCATTGCCTCTTCAAAATGGTCCTTCCTGATCTCCGGGACGGGATCGAAGTCCTCATCCTGCAGAAAAGAAAGCAAGGGGTATTTTGGAACAGGGTTTGCTCATTTTAATGTGGGTCTTTCACAATTTCTTTATGCACTAAGCACACGCAGCCTGGTTTGAATGTGAGATTGTGACTTTGCTAATGTGGAAAACTTGGAGGGCAGCTGTGATGGCGGACCATCGGGATGCCTGGTCGGTTCTGCCTCTGTCGTTCAGCCTTGATCTCCGCCTCAATGGCCTCACGGATGGCAAGTTTACAGGCCCGCTGGCAGATCTCTGTCAGGTCAGCTCCGGAAAAACCCTCTGTGATCCCAGACAGGAATTCCAGATTCACATCCTACAGATGAGGAATAGGGGTGATACTCCATTACAAATCTGAACAGGATCAAAGTCTGAAGTCCAGACTACTTGGAAAACCTTGCAAAACTCATCATTTCTTTACATTTTGCTTCCAAAAGACTTTCTTGTACTACCTACTTTTGCAACAGGTGATTTGCGCAGGTTTGCTTTAAGAATTGCTGTGCGGGAAGGTTTGTCAGGCAGTGGGATGTAGATGAGCTGGTCTAGACGACCTGGTCGCAGGATGGCCGGGTCTATGATGTCCGGTCTAGCGAGATGAGAAAAGCAATTTGGAGAAATCAGCATGATTTTCCATCTTTTGACCACAAAGGGATAAAAATGCATTGTCGACCTGTTTGTTGCACCAATGATGAAAACATTCTTTTTGTCTGACATGCCATCCATCTCCGTGAGGATCTGGTTGATCACTCTGTCAGCGGCACCACCTGCATCCCCAGCCCCGCCTCCCCTGGATTTAGCGATGGAGTCCAACTCATCAAAGAATAAGATGCAGGGTGCTGCCTGTCTGGCCTGGAGGCAGAGAAAAGTGTTTCAGATGGAGAAATGGAACATTTGAAGCTCAAAACGTCCACTCACCTTATCAAAGACATCTCTGACGTTGGCCTCGGACTCTCCGAACCACATGGTGAGCATCTCAGGTCCTTTGATTGATACAAAGTTTGCTTGGCACTCGTTGGCGATGGCCTTTGCGAGGAGAGTTTTCCCACAACCTGGAGGCCCGTAGAACAAAACCCCACGAGATGGGGTCATCCCAAACTTCAGGAACTTATCAGGATACTCGACAGGGTACTATAGACAACAAGACGAAGGAAGAAAACTAGTTACGGGATGTATAGAATTTTCTGGTTGTCATGGTCTGCATCTGCGTCTCCCTCATGTGTTTCCTTGTGTTCTCCATCCCCCTCTAGGACCCCCTTATGTGTTCCTTGTGTTCCTCATGTGTCCCCTTGTCTGCAGCCCCTCCAGGTCCCCCCCCCCCCCCCCCAGGTCCTGTGATCCCGTTGGTCTCCCCTAGTCACCCCTCTGTAGTTTTTCTAGAGGTTCAGCTTTTCATTTAAATATTTAATAATAATTTAGTGTGTTTCTTTCCCCACCAGTTTTTTAGTTCTCCTCCCTCCTTAGAACATTAGTTATTTATCTTGCTCTTCTTGTCTTTAGGTTTTGTTTTTATTCTTAAGTCATGTTATTTTCCCCTCCTTAGCTCACTTTCTTCTCCCTGATTAGTTAATTGATTTCACTAGGTTTCTCTCCCCACGCACCTGCAGCTCATCTCCCACTCATCCTGCCCCAGTGTATTTAACCCTGTCTGCGTCTTAGGCCCTGTCCACACGTAGCCGGGGATCTGCCAAAACGTAGATATTTTTCTACGTTCTGGCCTGTCATCCACACGAAAACGGGAGTTTTTTCACACGAAAACTGATCTTTTTAAAAACTCCGGCCAAAGTGAAGATCTGCGTTTTCTCCGTTTTGGGTGTCTGCGTGTGGACGGACAAAACCGGAGTTTTAAGGTCCGCAACGTCACTTTCCGCGACAAAAAAATGCTGACATCACGTGTGCGACCTGTGTTTACACTAGCCGACAGCATGGATGCCCTCAGAGCTGCGCTCGCTTTATCAATTGTCCAAGCGCTTTCTGCTTGTTTGTTTTTGCAAGCGGAATTACTGCTCCTTGCGGAAGACCACAGACGAAGGACGAGGTTAAGAACGGGGGAAGTACTGCCGCCTACAGGTCTGGCATGTCCTTAACAACGTATTTATCCGGGTACGTGTGGACAGAGTTTTCTTTTTAAACGAGGTGGTGTGGATGCAAGTTTTTGGAGGGGCGGATATTCGTTTAAAAAAACCCGGCTACGTGTGGACTAGGCCTCAGTGTGGTGTGGGTTCATTGCTTCGTGTCAGCGTTGGTTTGTCGTTCCCCCCCCAGGTCTCTATTTTTGGCTTCGTACTACACTTGGTTTTCGTTAGACTCATCATCTTAATAAAGATGTTTCATTTTACATCCTCTCCTGCTCCGTGTCGTTCTGGGTATCTGCACATCGGATCCTACTCCTCCACTTCTCAACGTGACACTGGTTTGAATGTGTCTCTGAATCGTCCACCTGAACAAGCTCTTGAAGTTCTCTCTTGACCTCGTCCAGCCCTCCGATGTCCTCCCAGTTGACTTGAGGTACCTCTACTACAGTCTCTCTCAGAGCTGATGGGTTACTTTGACTCAGTGCCCACTGAGAGAGGAAAAAGAAGACATGTTCATCTTTTAGCACTTTAATTTACACAGAGGGTGTGGAAGAGCTTCAGTCTGCCTGCATGCTGCTTCTTACGTACTTGGAAGTCATCCATGGTGACAGCTAGGGAGTTGAGCAGGTCCACGTCGATGGTTTCATCCTCCAGATCTATGAGAGCCATTTTCTTTCTAATGGCCTGCAGAGCAGCTTCTGAGCACAACGCAGCGAGGTCAGCGCCTACGTGGCCATGGGTTTCTGAGGCGATCTGACACAAAGAATGATAAATAAAGTTTCACACGTGGAAAACAGAAGAGAAACACGAGCATTTGTGTATGACGTCATCCTGGATGACGCTGAACGAGCTTCTTTGTCCATATTATCTGAAATCATTAAACCATGACACTTTGGCATCTCTTGTACATGGTTTGTCAAACTTTATTAGAACCGAGGGTAAAAGGGTTGAGAGGGTATCCGTCAGTTTTTCCAATTTAAATTCGTCCATGACTGAATTTTGAATCTACATCACACCAACGATTAAGTTTTTTTAAGAGCTAAAAGTTAAAACTCACAGATCACTTATAAACTCTATCCTGTTTTGATCATTTCTGCGCAGCCTTACATAACTTATGCAATAACCTGATCATCAATGGCAAAGATGAAAGAGATGGTTCATCTGCTCAAAAAGCAGACATCTTCCCTTCTCTAGAGGGTCAGGAGACGCAGAACCAAAGCTTCTGAAATAATAACAGAACCCACGCATCCAGCCCACCAAATATTCACCCCCTTCCTTCAGGCAGAAGACTTAGCATCAAAGTCCAACAGGGATGAGAGGTTCATGAACTCTGACTGTTAAAGTAGCAGCAGATAGTTTTTTCAAACTTCAAGCTAGAGCTTTAACATTGATCTCAGTGATTGTTGGATTAGAAACTTGACCAGTATTATATTAGACACAATTCTGCAGCCTTCCGATCACCGAAAGCTGCAATAGATAGTTTTGTGAAGCAGGTAGGTCTGGGGATACTCTTGCTTTACTGCTGTTAGCTTTATTGCTGTTAGCTTTAATGCTAGCGGTTAGCGTTTTCAGTTGGCTGATCATCAATAAAAAGCACAAGAAGAAAAATAAGTTTGCTTTTCTTGTTGTCAACAAGGTGGAGTCTGGAAGTAAAAGTAGGAGAGTAATGTCTTTGGAGGCGAAGCAAAGAGCTAAAACCAAAGTGAACATCAGCGCAGCCTACGCTAGTTTGAGGGACCTAAAGAGGCTGATGGTGACCTGGCTTTTTTGTTACTAGACTTGTAAGTAATGATATTGTTTGTCGTACACTGGTTATTTTAGTATTAGTTGGCTCATGTTAGTGTTAGCTTGTTGTTAGCAGTAGCTACCAGTTGGGTTGTTTATGATGACCAGTAGGGCAGAGGAGTAGGAAACTGCTGACTTACTTTAAGCTTTATGTTGAGTTTTGTTACTACACTTTCACTTTAGGTTTGTTCTCAATGGCTGTTGGTAATTTACTCACTTTGGCTGAGTGACTTGTCTAACAAGCTGTTTATTAGTAAAATAATCTAGATGTGATTTGATGACTTGTATACTTGGACTATAAGTCTGCATACATTATTCATCAGTACTGGCTTAAACCAGGTGTTCATTTAGAAACGGTCAGCAGAGCTTAAATTAGCATCCAAATATCCAGATGGAAGCACAAAACATGACTGTTAACGCACCGGGACAAGCGGGGGTGGAGTTGCTCAGTTTTTCAGTTGACTGGTTTGAGCCAAGAGTTTAAAAGAAACCAAGAGAAAAATTGTAACTGTTGGGAACAAAGCAGTAAATTAGATAAATCTAAACTAATGTGACAATAATTTTTTAGGCTACTTGTTCATTTGCGAATGACATCTCAGCTTTCTTGGGTCAGGAAATTGTCGACCTTCCATGAATTGTGCAACCATTCAAACAGTAAGGAAAAGCATTGATAATTTTAGTTACTGTCAGCAATGCAACTACTGTATGTTTGTTTTAGCAACAGCTCACCTTCTCCAGGTCGACGTCATCGGCCAGTTTCATGTTTTTGGTGTGGATCTGCAGGATTTCCAGTCTTCCGGTCGAATCAGGGATCCCGATGTCGATCTCACGATCGAACCTACCTGGAAATCATCGATACATCACTGAATACCTCTCATGTGGGAGTATCCAGGTATGTGTGTGTGAGTATAGCTGTACTAACCGAAGCGTCTTAGAGCTGGGTCAATGCTGTTTGGTCTGTTTGTTGCTGCCATGACAACCACGTGAGCTCTTTGCTTCAAGCCATCCATCAGGGTGAGAAGCTGGGACACGATTCGCCTCTCCACTTCCCCATGAGTCTAACGAAGAACCGAATAAAGATTCTGCAGAAATGCAGACACATTTCTAAAACTGGACATACGTTTTCTGCTCACCTTCTCTCTTTTGGGTGCGATGGCATCCAGCTCATCGATGAAGATGATGGCGGGAGCGTTGTTCTCTGCCTCCTCAAACGCCTTCCTCAGGTTGCTTTCTGACTCTCCTGCCAGCTTGCTCATGATCTCCGGACCTAGACGCAGAACATTTTTAAACACCGCCCAAACTCAGCCCTTCATTAGAAAAGACTGGATGAACTCTTAACCATTGATGAGGAAGAAAAAGGCCCCGGTTTCATTGGCTACAGCTCGGGCCACTAAGGTCTTCCCAGTTCCTGCAGGTCCGTAAAGCAGGATGCCTCTGGGTGGCTGACAGAGATTATGAAAGAACATTAAGAATTGGAAGTGAACTTCACACTTCGTGCATGTTTAGGAGCACCATACCTTAACCCCTATAGCCTTGAAGAGCCCTGGGTGTCTGAGAGGAAGCTCCACCATCTCTTTGATCTGAGCTAGCTGCTTCCGACAGCCTCCGATGTCGTCGTAGCCGACGTCATTCAGATTCTCCTCTTCATCCTGTTACAGGACAGCAGGAACATTTGGCCCAATATCAATGTCCCACATTGTTTTTGTGTTACCTGCTGTAGACTGTAGATGTGAATCAGCCTTCCTGCTGTAATCTGGCATATTTACATTCATTGATGTTTGAATTGACGTTCATTAGGCAAGGCAAGGCAGCTTTATGTGTATAGCGCATGTCAAACACAGAGGTAATTCAATGTGCTTTCTGTTAGCAAGAGTAGCTGAACATTAAAATGACGTAACTCCCAAATTAAAATACGCTAATATATTTAGATCAGACTGAAGGGATATTTGGCAACTTTTTCATATTTCTGTATCATTTTCTTGAGCCAATAGGTGCTAAAATGACCCATTACAGGATTAACCCTTTGATGCATAATGGTCACTACAGTGGACAGGTACTCAAAATTGTTATTTATTTGTTTTTGCTATTAAGCACAGCTGTTGAAGACTTTATTGCATTTGAGCCCCTCCATTTGAGCTTCAGCAAGTCAAGCCAACATATTTCATGCTCAGAATGCACGCTGTCCACTGAGGTGGATATGTAATAAATTATTTGTAAATTATAAAATTTTACAAAAAATATTTGTTGAAATTTGTTTCATTCACACCTAAAGACGAATGAAAAAAATTGTTAAAAAAATCATGGTTGAAGATTTCATAATTCATGCATCAAAGGGTTAATGTAATGTCACTGAGAACCCCACTGCCCTCTGTGGCCAGAATACCGCATTTGCAACTTCTGAGTGCCGGTCTAGTTCCTGTTGAAATTGAGCTGACATACCTGGCTCTGCAGTTTGCTTCCAGTATGTTTTCAGCACGTTTTAGATCATGAACACAGCTAATTTGTCTAATTTAGTGATGAACCGCTCCTGGAGACACTAATGAAGGATGGGAGACATTTCAGCTTTCAGATCAAGGTGTTAAAAAGACCAATGCACAGCAAGGAGATACATTTTGTTTTGGTTCTACTAAACGGACACTAGGGGGTGCTAAACGCAAGCCAAAACTGCCTAATCACCCTTAAAATACACAAATTATGTTTAGATTTAAGAATCAGAAAAAAGACTGTTAAAGGTTGAGCAGTTACACTGCAAAAGGTTCAGCATAAGAAACAAAATGTGCTTGAGGAAATAGTGACATCCTGTGGTCAGATTAGGTACTGCAACCCGTTTCTAATAATCTACCACAGACCTCTCTTTTGATTGGCTCTCCTTCGCAGTAGATGACGGTGTCTGGAGCAACGATGCAGTGAGGGCTGGGGTCCGTAACTATCACCTTGAACTCCACTGCCCTCATGCTCCCCCTCACCATAAAGATGTCTCCTGACAAAACACGTAACACACACAAACAGCCCCAGAAACATCCAGAAGTGGAAAACGTGGAGGTGATTCTGTATTTCATCATTTCACAAACCTTTGTGTACAGGCCGGTAAGCCTCCAGGAAGTACGGCTTGATAAAAACATCAAAGAGGTTCCCGGTCAGGCCCTCAATGGTGTCGTCAATGGGGAGGATGTGGATCTTTTTCCCATACTTGATATCTGGGCAGGCGTGGATGCTGAGATGTTAGAAATACACAAAATGATTTCAGGATTAATCTTTATTGAAATGGTTTCAATATTGAATTTTTCGAAGTGGGGCTCCATTGAAAATATACAAATGAGTCTGTGTTTATTTGAACTGAGGCTGTTCTAATAGCTAGCTACAGATATGTTAATTGTTTATGTCATTTTCACAGAACTCTCACTGCATAGTTGTGTACCTGATCACATCACCTAGCCGAACACGCAGGTTTTTGCGTGTAACTCGGTTAATCCGAATCCTCTCATCCCCACAGCTGTCCTCGGTCAAGATGATGCACACAGTCTGTCTCCGCTTTCGTCCCTTCAGCACCACCGTGTCTCCACGGAAGAGCTGCAGCTCCTCTGTTTTGTTCTAAAGTAAGCACACATGTCTAAGGACAAACACACGCAGAGATCCTGGCTGAATTCACACCTCTCGTACACACACACACACACACACACACACACACACACACACACACACACACACACACACACCTGTGACAGGCTGACAATGCTGCTGTCTTCATTTAGCGCTTCGTCCACGATTAGTCTGTTTGGTCTGTGTTTCTGCTTCAGGATGGCGGTGGAGAAGTCTTCTCCCTTTAGACTTCCAAACAAGAAGCACATTGAGACGTTCACATGCACGCCCATCTCCAGTTTCCGCATGTGACGCTGTGCTGTATTTAGAATCCGTTTGGTTCAAACAGCAACTTTTCATCACGATTAAAACATGTCAGTTTTTTAAAGGTCTGGAGCAGGGACATGCAGGTGGGGAATCTAAAGGGAATCCTACTGCTTTACCCTTGTTTTCTTTTTTATTTACATTTAAAAAGTTTACAATGTCAAATGAACAAATAAACAAGAGGCTGTTGTTGGTGAGTTTGTCACCTGGTGACCTTTAACCCGTGGTTTTCTGTTTGAGTTTGGGCTGCTTTAATGGTCTGATCTCCTCATTAATGGGAGATCTATCATTAGCACATTACAGTGTCAAAAAGCTGCTTGTGTGATAAAATATGTGTAAGTAGGTGCACGTGCAGCTGTTTCACTCACTCTGCCCCACCAGAGCCTGGCATGTTTTCCTGTCCTCTTCACCTTCTTGGAGTGTTTTTCTTCAGATTATTCAATATCCGAGCCTGTGTGGCTCAAAGCTTTCCGATTCCGTCTGATCTGATTGGCCTCGGTGAGGGTTGAGTCTGCCGAGCCCCCCCCCCCCCAAGGTTCTGTTGTCTTTTTTCCTCACTTGTTTTCAGCCACCATGTATGCAGGAGCTGCAGCTCGTCTGTTTATCAGAGGAGGTATAAATATGCCCATCTGCTTCTCTGTCTTATTATAACCCTGTCACACACACACACACACATACACACACACACACACACACACACACACATACACACACACAAATGCCTTGCACTTACCTTGGAGAGTGGCCCAAACCAGATACTGTGTGATATTTCCTCCTACTCCTGCTACTCACAGACGAGAGCCTAGCTGCTCCTAACTGGTGTTAAATATTCATGTTAGAAAATAAATTCAATTAAAAAAAATGCTTCCTTTGTGTTTGTGTCTCAGCCTCGGGATCAGTCCCGTCTTTTCTAAACCACAGCGAAGAAACAAAGAAACACAAACATGGAGGATGACTTGCAAAATGACAACATAAAATCAATACAAAATAAACATCCACACACACGTTTTAATTTTCGCTTTTATTACTAAATCCAATTCATTTAAAACAAATAACAGGCGACGAGCAGACGGGGAGTTCTGCACATTCCCGCTAGGGAGAACCAGAAAAAAACACAACAGCTCCCAACAAACAGGTTTAACAAATTACAACAAAAAGCTAAAATGACAAAAACATTTAAAAAAAACATTAAGATGTGAAAAAATAAAGTTCATTTTGTTTGTGGGTGAAAGAATAAAAGGAGGAGGTAGAGAAGGTTAAAAAAACAGATTATGTAATTTAAACAGTTCATAGAAATTTAATTAAACCAATCAAAAACTTTTTGAAGTGCAAAGCTTGGAATGTGCTGTAAGCATAAAATAAAAGTATTTTCTGCTCATTCCATCAACACAAAACAATAAAACAATGAGATTCATCTGATCCTGTAGAATCTTTTTAAAGATAGAGATTATAATTTATACATGTTAAATGAGAACGTTTCAGTATAAATACATATTTTATGACAAAAAGTTGATTGTTCTGCTGATTTCTGTTCAGTTAGCTGGTGATTTTCATACAGAGATATATGGAGATGCTACACTAAGGTACACCAGGGCTGCACAAGTTATTTATATTGCAATTTCAACATTTGAAATAACGATTTAGCAAAAGCTTGCAGTACAACTCTGACTCTAACTGCATGCAAAGGATACATATTTGACATCTGATGGACCCTGGCTCTCTTAAATTCCCACATCCAGCCCAAGAAGATGGTTATTAACATCGTAATGAATCTGTGCATTTATCACCCGCTATATCGTTAAACAGCGTTTTCATCCATCAACACCTGATTATTAGAAGTTCTGAATCTCCAGCATGCTTCTAAATGCATCACAGCTCACTCTGCCTCCCAATCCAGACCGCTCCAGCCCATCGATGCCGAAGAAAAAGTCAATAATAGTTCATAAAAGAGAATAAAGGTAGCAGCCTGTTTCTAAAGTTTAGAAATCGTTTGATTGTTACCATGCCAACAAGCACTGATGACCAATTAGGTATTTTTAAGAGCTCTAAATTGATCAGATGCACAAATGAAAAAGGTTTACAGATTTAAAAGTGATCTTTTTTCTATTCCCCAACCTGAACAGGTGTCTAACCTGAACATCATCTGATCTGGATGAATAAAGTCCAGCTTTGTGTCCTTATTGTCATGCTCATGTCAGGTTGAGACTTAATTAGTTAAATAAAGTTGACTTCCTTTGCAGAATGTGTGGGAAACTAGAAAATTAAACATCAACTATATAAAAAAAAAGAACCAAAATAGAGTTGTTTTGTGCTTCTTGGGGCACTTTTACGAAGGTATTGTAACTCCTGGTGCTGCAGCGATGTCATTATTAGTGTATTTTTAGTAAACTGGCCAAAAACAGTTTTTTAAAGCTAATTTACTTGATAATTGATCATTATGATTTTCAGCTGATTGATGCACAGTTTTAAAGCTCTCATGTTCAATAAACTTTAGTATACTTAAAGAAAAACATAAATTATTGCAAACTGTTATAGTTTTTGCAGGGAGCTTGTAAAAGCTGCACTAAATTAGAAAAAGCTGCACTTAATCTGAGCAAATTTTACTGGAGCCTCTGACAAAAGTGTCAAAGTGGTCTAGATTGATGGGAATCAGCTCTACACAGGTAAACACACACCCAAACATGAGAAACCTCAAAAATTACTGTGAATCCACGCTGATCCCAGCAAAACTGTGGAGGTCAGACACTACCATGAGAGCTATGACAATTAAAAAGTGCTGCATTGTTAATAAAGAAAACAAACTGCATTGCTATTTTGAATCTGTGCATGTGAAAATATTGTGTGAGATTACACTTTTTCATCTGACATTTGTGCTTCGTGTGGAAGAAAAATCATTGCTGTCTAGAAAATCCAGCCACATCTCTGCGTCATTCAACTATAGAGGATTCTAAACTACTCTGTGTGTGTGTGTGTGTGTGTGTGTGTGTGTGTGTGTGTGTGTGTTACATATCATGCAAGCATTATCATATTATCTGATCTAAATAACAGTCTGCATGTGGTTTCTGTGTTAGCAGCAGTCATCATCCTCAAAGTGTGTTTTCTGCAGAACCTTTACATGACGCTCATAGATCTTGAGGGCGGGGCCCAGTTTGATTGACAGCCCAGTCAACACATCATTGCGCTGCATGAGGAGGAGAGACTTCCCATCGATTTCCTAATGTGAGAGCAAATCCGTGAATGGAGCGAGAGGTGTGTGAGCTAGAAACGATGGCTAGAACATTTGTGAGCCTGTCCAATGCGCCCTCTGGTGGTTGTTCAGAGGAAAACAGCCTCACCTGTGTCCTGAAGGCTGCAGCCTGCTCAGGGAAACCAGCATCTGTGAAATATGTGACCACATCAGACACGGTCCAGTCCACTGGACTCCCTCTGAGGCCTTCAAACTTCATATGTCTAACAAAACAAAGATGGTTAGATCATTACAAAACTCACAAGAGACACTTTCATGATTTATCCACTACATTATCATATTCTTAGAAATGATAACGTGATTAATTTTAAGGATTTTATTTAATTATCTAATGTTAAATGTCTGTTAAAGGTTCAAATTCTTAATAATTTTATTTATTTATTTTTTAAGTGTGTTTTATGTCATGCATAAAGCTATATAGCCATAAATATTTGGAGGTTTATATTTGCTAGCAACAGGAACATGACAGGATAGTTTTTCACATAGATTTATTTTGTCTTACATTACCAGTAGTAATTCATTTGAAAAATTGTTGGTGAAAACACACACACACACACACACACACATATATATATACATGTGTGTGTGTGTGTGTGTGTTTGTATATATATATATATATATATATATATATATATATATATACACACACACACACACACATATATATACATGTGTGTGTGTGTGTGTGTGTGTACATATATATATATATATATATATATATATATATATATATATATATATATATATATATATATATATATATATATATATATATATATATATATACACACACACACACACATAAGTCTTGATACGAAAAGGGTAGAATGCCTTCTCTAGTTCAGGGATGAGGTCCTGCCCCAAGTGGAGGAGTTTAAGTATATCGGGGTCTTGTTCACGAGTGAGGGAAAACTGGAGCGTGAGATCGATAGGAGGATTGGTGCTGCATCTGCAGTGATGCGGGCGTTGTACCGGTCTGTCGTGGTGAAGAGAGAGCTGAGTCAGAAGGCAAAGCTCTCGATATACTGATCGATCCACGTTCCTACCCTCACCTAGGGTCACGAGCTTTGGGTAGTGACCGAAAGAACGACATCACAGATACAAGCGGCCAAAATGAGTTTTCTACGCAGAGTGGCTAGGCTCTCCCTTAGAGATATGGTGTGAAGCTCTGTCATCCGAGAGGGGCTTGGAGTAGATTTGCTGCTCCTCCACATTGAGAGGAGCCAGTTGATGTGGCTCGGTCATCTGGTCAGGATGCCTCCTGGACGACTCCTGGACGATGCTGATAAATTATTGCTTTATACAGGTGCAAACGTGTAGTGGGATAAATCTACCTACATTTTATTTTTTTAAGAACTTTGTTTTGTTTTCTTGGTTTTTATTTTCCTATTTTCTGGGTGGTTTCTCCTCCTGTTCCCTCCATAAGTGGTTTTGATAAACACCGTGGATCTAATCCTGCTAATTTACTTCCACTAACTCCAGCAGTTTCTGTAGTTTCTGATTCCTCCACCTCACTCAGCATGGCTCTATTAAATACCCGCTCTGTTAACAATAAGTCCTTCCTGCTCAATGATCTAATTCTCTCTAAAAACCTGGATTTTCTGTTTCTGACCGAAGTTTGGCAGCAAACATCTGATTATTCTGGTCTGATTGAACTCTGCCCGAGTGGTTATTCTTTTCTTAGCCAGCCTCGGGATTCTGGTCGTGGTGGAGGCCTAGCTGTTGTTTTCAGAGACCATCTTCCATGTAGCTCTACAACCTCTGGTCGCTTTGCTTCCCTTGAACTGCAGCTGATTAAAGTCGGGTGTAAGGTCCCGTTCTACTGTGCTGTGGTCTATCGTCCACCTGGTCCAAACGGTTCTTTCCTTCAGGAATTTAGTGACTTTCTATCCTCCACTGTGAAGCTGTCCAGACTGGTGATTGTTGGTGATTTTAACATCCACATTGATGATCCCTCTGATCACTTTGCCATGAATTTCTCCAGCCTTATGGACTCCTTCAGCTTTACCCAGCATGTTTCTGGCCCCACACACACCAGGGGGCACACTCTGGACCTTGTTTTTACCCTGGGTCTAAATGCTGACAGTGTTTGTCCTGAGGACGTTTATATTTCAGATTACCATTGCATTTTCTTTAACTTGTCAGTTTCTGCATCCCCACCTCCTGCTCGCCGTATGGTTAGTTCTCGTTTGCTTAATGAGAGCACAGCTAGCAATTTTTCTGCTGCTTTTAATCCACCCTGTTCTTCTGATAACGACCCAGATTCCTTAACTTCTCAGTTTAATGAGCACTGCCTTTCCATTCTGGAAAACATCTGTCCTGTCAGAACCAGATCAGTTCCTGCAGTGAACCCTACTCCCTGGTTTAATGACAGCCTTCGCAGCCTGAAGCGCCAATGCAGAAAAATTGAGCGCTTGTGGAAGAAAACCCATCTCCACGTCCATCTGCTGCACCTAAAGGATCTTCTGACATCCTTTAACTCTGCAGTCAGAGATGCAAGGGTTTCCTATTTCTCCAACCTGGTGTCCCAGAGCAAAGGGAACCCCAAGGTGCTGTTTTTCAATTCAATTCAATTCAAGTTTATTTATATAGCGCCAAATCACGACAAGAGTCGTCTCAAGGCACTTCACATAATAAAAATTCCAATTCAGGTCAGTTCATTAAGCCAATCAGAAATAATGTTTCCTATATAAGGAACCCAGCAAATTGCATCAAGTCACTGACTGGTGTCAGTGACTAGACTATACAGCAATCCTCATACCAAGCAAGCATAACGCGACAGTGGAGAGGAAAACTCCCTTTTAACAGGAAGAAACCTCCAGAGAGTCCCGGCTCAGTATAAGCAGCCATCCTCCACGACTGATCGAGCAGACAGAGCAGACACACACACACACACACACACACGCACGCACGCACGCGCGCGCGCGCACGCACGCACGCACACACACACACACACACACACACACACACGCGGTTTTATGTATGTTTAACACCATCAGCAGCATCATCTCTCCTGCCTCTCCTACAGCCTCCATCCACTCTGTTACAGACTGTGAGAACTTTCTGTCTTTCTTTGTGGACAAAGTCAATAAGGTTAGATCTAGCTTCTCTCCTTCAGCCTTATCGCTGCCTCTCCCGACTCCAACCAGGCCCATCATCCCAGATAGCTTTGCTCCTGTTTCTTTGTCTGAGTTAACCAAACTAGTTAACTCTATGAAGACCTCTGCATGCCCCCTCGACATCTTACCCTCATCTTTATTTAAAAGTGCTCTTCAGTCCATCGGTCCCAGCGTGCTCTCTATAATTAATGCTTCTCTGGTCAGGTCCCTGCTTACTTTAAGAACGCTGTAATCCACCCGCTTCTTAAAAAACCGAGTCTTGACCCCTCTCTCCATAGCAGCTTCAGACCCATCTCTAAACTTCCGTTCATCTCCAAGATCTTGGAAAAAGTTGTGGCTAAACAACTCACAGCTGCTCTTGATGAAGATAACATCTATGATAGCTTCCAGTCAAGTTTTCGTAGAGCTCATTCTACTGAAACAGCTCTTCTTAGGGTCTCTAATGACCTTCTGAATCACAGTGATGCAGGGGACTGTTCTGTTCTGGTCCTGCTGGACCTGACTGCAGCCTTTGACACTGTTGACCATCACCTGCTGCTGGAGAGGCTGAGAGACTGGGTAGGCCTATCAGGAACTGCTCTGGGGTGGTTCTCCTCTTACAATTCTGAGTGCTCCTTTTCTGTGGCTGTCTCCAAATGTAGATCCTCCACCACCTCTCTTACCCATGGTGTCCCACAAGGTTCTGTGCTGGGGCCTCTGCTCTTCATCCTCTATCTGCTTCCTCTTCAGCACATCCTGAGCTCCTTCAAAGGAATCTCCTACCATCTTTATGCAGATGACATCCAACTGTACATCTCCTTTAAGCCCCATGAGATGTCTAAGCTGCAGCTGTTACACACCTGCTTAGACTCTATCAAAACCTGGATGGCTGGGAGCTTTCTTCAGCTGAATGAAGATAAGACTGAGATCCTCATCTGTGCCCCAAACAAGCTGGTTCCCAAAGTCAGAGACTCTCTTGGTCAGCTTGCTTCCCACACCAAGCCTTCCATCAGGAATCTTGGCGTGACCTTTGACCCAGCTCTCACCCTGAATTCTCATGTCAGTTCTCTTGTTTGCTCTTCCTTCTTCCATCTCAGGAACATTGCAAAGCTGAGTCCCATTCTGTCCCACTCTGAACTTGAAACAGTTATCCACACCTTCATCTCCTCACACTTAGACTACTGTAACTCTCTTTTCACGTGTCTGAGCAGAACCTCCCTGAACCGTCTACAGGTGGTTCAGAACGCCTGTGCTTGGCTTCTGACCAAGTCCTCCAAACACACCCACATCACCCCGCTTCTCCTCCAGCTTCACTGGCTGCCAGTCAACTTCAGAGTTCATTTCAAGATCCTGGTTCTGGTCTATAGGGCCTTACATGGACAAGCACCATCTTACATTGGTAATCTTCTTAGTCCCTACACCCCCAGCAGGTCCCTGAGGTCCAGTGATCAAAGCCTACTGGTTGTGCAGCACCAGGCTAAAGACCAAAGGTGACAGATCATTTGCTGCTGTGGCCCCCAGACTCTGGAACTCTCTCCCCCTGAGCCTGAGATCAGTGGACTCGTTGGTCTCCTTTAAAAAGCAGCTGAAGACTCACTTGTTCAAGCTGGCTTTTGTGCGACCTTCACCAACCTCTCTTTATTCTGCTCTCCCCACCTATTCCATCTTCCTCAGGATCCACTGATTTCCCTCTTTCCTATTCTCTCTCTCTCTTTCTTAACATTTTTTAATCACAATTGTCTGTTTTATTTTTGCTCATTTTAAATTTATTTTTTAACAATTTTCTAAATTCGTTTTTATATTTTTACATTTTTTGTTTTTGTGAAGCGCCTCGTGATTTTTATCTTGAGAGGTGCTATAGAAATGATATTTTCTTTCTTTCTTCTTTCTTTCTATCTTCCTGTCCTGTCTCTCTGATCTTCCTGCATCTCCCAGTCCTCCAGAAAAACTCCTGTCTGCTCCCATCTTTTTCACCTCACAAGTAACTTTTTAACTAGCAGATCAAATTGATCTATTGACCGCAAAAAAAGCGGAGTGTGCGCCGTGCTGCCCGGCTGTGCCAGCGACGAGCGCTGCAGCGGGGGCAGCGCAAGCGCGTCCACACATCATGCTCAAATACAGACAGAACTTACCACAGAGAAAATGAACGGACACGAATGACTGTATTTTAATTGTATATTTTTGGTGACGCCACTTACAAACTTAGAAAATTTTACTGTGGCCGCGTGCAGAACGCAGCTGGAGTTCACGAATAATCAGCGGTCTGCCTGCTGCTCTCCTCAAAAGAATCCCCGCTACGCTGAGTCCATATAAATAATATAATATAGGTAGAAACTGGATCTTTTTTGTGCTCCTTCTGGGTGTGTAAGGTAAGGGCATCAGGGGAGCCTGACAACCTTTAAGGAGAACAAGTTGCTCTCCTGTAATTTGAACCCAGTATCTGAGTCTGGATCGGGAAGTAAAGCCCGAGTTCCCGATCAGTCTGAAACCACGTGATCAGGGCCGATTTCCGGTCATGTGATCGGATCGGGACATCCCTTATAAATAAATAAATAAATATATATATATATATATATATATATATATATATATATATATATATATATATATATATATATATATATATATATATATATATATATATATATATTAGCCTCTAACCCTAAACTCCAGCTCTAACCCTAAGGTCCGTGGGTCTAGTACATCTCTCTCTCTCTATATGTATATATATATATATATATATATATATATATATATATATATATATATAGAGAGAGAGAGAGAGAGAGAGAGAGAGAGAGAGTAAATGTCTTTCCAAGTTTCTAAGCCCTATCTCTGTAACAGGATTGGAACTTTCCTTGAAAGCCTTTTGTATTAAATTGTATGCATGTTTTCTGCCCCTTGGTGGAGACACTATGTATGGCATGGAGCATTTCAAGCTGTTTTGTTTTTTGTTGTTACATTATTACATTAAATACATGAAAACATTATGTTGTTAATGTTAGTACAAAATGAATTGATTATTTTTTTCAATATACAATTTATTTTTGTTTTAATTATATTAGTTATGACGCTTGAGACATTTAAAATTTCATTGCTTTCTTTTTAATTTATTTAATCATTTCTGTTTTTTTACCTCCACACCTTTTTGATTTCTTCAACCTTTGTGGTGTTGCTTGTGGCTTTTTATAAATTATTTACCTTGATATTCATTCTAAAAAAAATGTCAGCATGTTAAAGTGCAGTATGTAAGAATATAATGATATTTTTACAGAGATGAAATCCCAAAAGAGTCTAATGTTATGCATTTTGGAAGGAAGGTTAAACTGAAACATGTTTCATATCCAGCAGGCTGCGGGGATTGTCCGTTTTTCTTCATTCAAAATAAAGGGAGGAGGGACATAACTACTGTTTACCATCAGTGAGTGTGGGGGTGCCGTGTCTCCTGCGAGCTAATACTGCAGCGCAAACAACTGTAATTTGACGACGACTGGCAAAAAGCTCCAGAGTTGTTTAAAATGGTTGGAGGAACCAATTTTTATTACTGGATGCCATTTTTACTTCATTTCTGCATAATGCACCTTTACGTTTGGGCTGAAAATCAGGACTACAGAGTGCAAAAGTCATAAAAAATAGCTGTTAATAGCATCATCATTCAGGCACACTTTGCGGTCTGTAACATATTTTATATTTTCATCTAGAAAATCTTTTTATTTCTATGAAGTATGTTTAGATTTCTTTGTTTAGAACTTTAAAATATTCATTAACCAGTTTGTTTGTCCTGTATATGAGGTCCTACTTATCCCAGTTAACCAGAGGAAATTAATAACATACAAATATAAATTCAGATTAAGCTTGAAAATTTTGAATTTAACATTTAAAACCAACTTTATTTCATAAAACTTTAGAATTTTTTTCTTCTCTCTGTAACCTATTTCTTCTATAAAAGCTCCTACAACAATTGAAACTAAACATTTGTGCTGATTAGAATAGAGAGAAATGCTGTTGTTTGTGTTTGAAACCACGCTCTCACCCTCCGCTGCTATCACTAATCCCTCTCTCCTCAGACAGGCTGGAGTCTCTCGGGGAAGCTGTGGGCGTGAGCATGCAGGATGACGCACCCACCTCCGTCTTACACTCCAGACCTGAAGCAGGGAAATATTAAGCTGTGTGAAATTCATCAGCAACAAACACCAATAAGAGACTGATTTTAGGATTATCAGAAGAACAAAACTCACCGTTAAAGCTGGAAGAGGTGTGGTTTAATTCATCATGCTGTATGGAGAAAAGACAAAGGGTCAAAGAAAGTCCACAGAGACAGCTGATAAAACTGAGATCATCGGAGTGGGACAACCTCCATCTGAGACGAAGGACAAAAGGACGGTGGCTACATCAAGCACGGTGACAGAAACCCGCAGCAGGACATTAAGACTGTGTGCTTTGGGAGACTGAATGATGTGTGTGAGGAACAAGTCTGGTGCTGGGGTAGCTAAGGCTGATGAGTCACCCCCAGTCGAGCCCTCAAGTGTGTGTGAAACACCCAAAACTAGCTATTTGTTGATCTTTTGGTGAAAAGTAAAACACACACCTGCCTGTGACCATAGAGCTCCGGACCCCACGTGACTCTCAGTTAGTGGACGCCATTTTGGCATGCAAAAAAGGTAAACAAACACGGATGTAACCATGAACATGAACGGGATCCGCTTGGATTTTACTTCGTCGGAGTTTACTTCACACTTTAAAACAGAAGAAATCGTTTTATATAGTCAGAAATTAAATAGACTAAACATCTCCGACCCTTACCGTGCCCCTGGGATACTTTTTAAAAATGCCAGAAGCTGTCGGAGCAGACTTCTTACCGGCACAACACCGGACCTGGCCGGGGTAACCCCTTGGGATTTACCCGGAGGAGCTGGCTCCGGCGGCTGGGGAGAGGGAAGTCACGCTACTGCCCCCGCAACCCGACTCCGGATATGCGGATGAAAATGGATGGATGGACGGACAAATAACAGATTTACATGTAAGTAGTCACTGTGACACAGATAATAGCAATCCAAAGTGCTTTTTATGTGTGATCTGACAATTGATCAACCATTGCTTAAAAATTAAATACAGCTTAGCCGGTTAATTGCTGTGATCATAAAACACGGAAACGGCAGCACGCAGAACTCACGAGGCAACGTTTTACGTGATGTTTACTTGCTGCTATGAGTAATAAGACAGAAAAAGCCACGCCAAAATAAGTTTAGGAAGCCCACTAAGAATCGTAATAAAAGCATTTAAAATAAATACCATACACAGTTGAGGAAACGTTGGTTTAAGTACCTGATATGAAGCGGTCGCTGCATAAGCGAAAACCTTTACTCTCGGGATCCCACAGCTTCATTTTCGCCCGGTCACTAGCGCATTTTATTACAATGATCCAACGTTTGCGGCGCTCCGGATCTTGGGGAATCCTGTAGATGGCTCATTCCTTATGTCGTCCGCGTCTGTTCTGCATCCTGGGGCACAACAGGAATCTACCATATTTCCCGTTTGATTGAGTTTTCTGACAATACTTAATAGTCCAGCTGCCGGCTTCTGCATGCCAATATGGCGCTGTTTCGATTTGAACTGTTGCATGCCGGGAGAAGTGACGTCAACTCCCGGAGCTCTATACTCACCATTAGCTCATACAGCAGGAATAAAAGCAAAACATCATTTTGTGTAAATATACTGCAAAGGTGAATGGAGGGTGCCCTCTATAGCCAGGTTTTGTGAAAGTGTGTTTACATGCGCTCTGACCGACATCTAAGTTGATCCAGGTCGATCTTATTGTAATGAGCTAGGAGTCTTTATCTAGTGAATTTGCATTAGGAAACCAGTCTCTCAAGTAGTTTGTTCCACTCCGGTACAGTAGGTGGCGACACACACCTTTTCATTTCGGCATTCTTCCCGTTAGCTTATAGCAACACAAGCGGTAAACAGAGGCTGGTGGGAGGGAAGCGGACGTAATTGAAACAGGATATGCACAATGGCTGAATGAATGTAGCCTGGCCTGCCAGACTCGTCCTGTTTAATTCTGCACAGAGAAAGAGTCTGGTAGCTCACAGGCAGAGAGGCACTTGAGGCGCGGGACTAGGCTGCTCAAAAATAACCAATAACAAAAAATACGGAAATGCTGACTGTACTGCTTTTTTTTTTCCGAAGAAATGTTTTTAGCGCTTCTACTTGTGGTTTTAAAGACATTCAAGTCAATTAGAACAGAGGAAAGAGCAGCAGTGAACTCTGCCGCTGTCTTCGTTGTTTATGAGAAACAGAGCGTCGCTGTGAGTGACATCCGCGACGCTGTAGTTTTTTAACTGTAGTCAAAAATGGCGTCTGGTGACAGCACAAACATCTTGCTTTAGAAGAAAGGCTCTTAGCGCTTCTACTTGTTGTTGTTTTAAAGACGTGCCCAAGTAATTTAGAACAGAGGAAAGAGCTGCAGCGAACTCCGCTTCAGTTGCCATGTTTATGACAAACTCGGCGTTGTGATGTGTGACGTATTCTATACAGCACTGATTGGCTCGGTTAGAATTCTCAGGGGGAGGGGTTATTTGAATAGGAGAGTTCCCAGACTCTTTCTCTGTGCAGAATTAAACAGAGAAGGGGTCTGGCAGTCCAGGCTAGAATAAATGTACAACAACAACAACGTTGCAGCACAGCTTATTTGGTAGTACTGTCCTGTTATATGGTGTTACGTGTGTTGCTTTGTGACGATGGTCTTGTCAGAAGACCACTTCCACGGTGTCATCACTTCCATAACACGAGAGTCCTACCAGTTTTGTTCGACTGACCCGTTTACATGCAGGATGTATTTGGATTGCTACCGCATGATGTGGGTGCTTCAGCTCGATTAGAACCAGTTTGCCTTCAGCCAGGCTAACATGTTCACATGCATTGTAGTAGACTGTAAAATGCTTTATAATAAGTTTAATGAAAAACAGACACCCCTTCTATTTTTTTTTGTATTATAAAGTTTGTGTATTATGTAAAATTAAGGTTGCTGTGCTCATTCACACCAGCAGAGGGTGCTGTGGTGCCACTGTGGGCATAGAGGGCTTCTGTGCAGGCGCAGCTCAGAATTAAACGAGCTATGGTCTGACAACGTGTTCCCCTCGTCTGTCCAATGGTCTGTCTATCAAAGTTAAATATTTGAACTTAAACTTGGTCCTAATAAGATGTAAATGAATGTATATCCAGGTAGAAACACTGTAATGAAATGTTGACTGTTCCTGAAGGGTGAATGACGAGGTATTTGTGTGTTTTATAACGGGCCTGTACCTCCGCCATTTTGTAGGGTCGCTTTTGTTGTTCGTAGATAAATTCGCAGTACGAAACTGATGTATTTGAAGCCAAAATAGGTATTATAAAGAACAACTAAGTCTTCTAGCAGTTTCACAAAGGGTTGGGTATAAAATAAGCAGAAGTAAGGGTTTAAATTCAAGTTTATTGAGATCCCCATGTTGGGTGTTATTTTGTTGATCAGCCCGCCATTTAGAGGCACATTTTCATTGATTTAGCTCAGCGCTTTGGTGTGTGTGTGTGTGTGTGTGTGTGTGTGTGTGTGTGTGTGTGTGTGTGTGTGTGTGTGTGTGTGTGTGTATGAGTGAGATCGGAAATAACAGATTGTGTTTTTGGCACTAGAGAGTAAATTAAGCTCTTTTGCTGTAATTATTTAGTGATGGGAGTGAGCAAAGGTGTTTAGAGTCATTTTATTATTATTTTTGATGGATTTTATTATTGTGTTTTGTAAATTGTATTCTATTTACAGCCTGTATTATTTGCACTTTTCAATATTTTTTCAATTATACTTATTGATTTTCATTTTATTACTATTATTTACTGTGCTGTCACTTATTTTTGGTATTATTGCCTATTGTATGAATGTGTTGTGTGTGAAATGTCAGAATTAAACGAGCTATGGTCTGACAACGTTTTTCCCTCATCTGTCCACAGCCATAGACTCTGATTTCGGCAACACAACCTACGCTAGCTGTGTGCCTCTTGCCACCACCCAGCTTACCCCTAGGGATGGTGCCGGTCACAATTGGGGGCTCGTCCGGGATCATTTGGAGTAACCTCACTGCCGGGTGAGGAGTGCAAGTACAGCATTTGAGGTGTCCAGCATTTCAAAGAAGGCTACATCCCTGTGTGTCATCCAGAGAGCATCTACCACCATTGAACATCATGGCCACCAATGCACCACGGCGGGCGCTGATCGTCAAGATCAAGAGACAGCTATCTAATTTAAGTACAAGTCAGCTACAAACATATAAAATAGGTTATAATTGTAAGTTGCTTTGGATAAAAGCATCTGCCAAATAAATAAACATAAACATAAACCATTGTCCTCTCTATTGATGACGGCACTGCAAAGGCCAACATTGAAGAGCTAAGTGACATTGACCTGTATAAGTCGATCCTCAACTACTTGAGAAGTGACAAGTTGAAGGTCAGGGAAGATGAAGGTATGTCCCATCTACTCCTCCTAGATGACTTGATCACCGACTTACTGACATCTGCAAATACTGAACCAACTAGAGTTGAGGTACCAGTCCATGCCCAGGAGGTTGACCCAACTACTATTCCCTTTCTTTTTACCTCAGAACTGGCCTCTCCCAGCACACGCTCTGTCACACCCCCCAGAGACATTGGTGCATCGCAGAAGAGTCTCACCGCTCCACCACAACCCATGGGAACAAATGCTCCTCCACTGGGCATGGTTAGCCCGTCTTCTAGCTCTAGAAATCCGGTATTGAGTCTTAGTGATGTAGCAAGCTTGCTACCACGCAGAGAGTTTAAACTCTATGGTGGACAAATATCAGATACTGGTTCAGATATCTCTTATGGTAACCTGTGAAAGCAAATTGATGAAGAGTTACAAGAAGGGTTTTCTGAGTCTGAAGTTATCAGAAGTGTACTTAAAATCACAAAATCAGGTACATTCAGAGACATGTTAACTAACAAGAGTGATGTAAATGTTGATGAACTTAAGAAATTTCTTCGCTTTCACATTCGTGACAAAAATAGTACTGAGCTCTTTCAAGAGCTGACCAATGCTAAGCAGTCCAACAAAGAAAGTCCACAACAGTTCTTGTACGGAGTAATGGGCTTAAAGCAGTGTATTCTTTTCGAGTCACAACAAGTTGTTACTGGTTTTCACTATGACATGAAACTCGTACAAGGTACTTTTCTCCATACTCTCTATCAAGGGTTAGATGAAAAAAATGACTATGTGAGACGTGACTAAA